TGTCTGCAAGACCAAGATACCAGCACATGCATGGGCATTGTTCGCGATAGTTTGAACAAGTTCTCGATAGTGCATGCTAAGAAAAATTCTTAGGTTTTAATTTGTAGTCGTCTAAAACAAAACAAAAATCCAAATGCAGTTAGTTATCAGGTTAGAAAAATGTTGTTTTTAGACCTTTAATACGATTATATCCAGATTCAATTCTAGTGCAATATATTTGGAGAAAATACTAATTATGTAACGTCACCAACACCATCGTTTCTCAACTACATACAGTCCAGATGATCTCGAAATCTTTTATCCGTACTTTGTTCTCATTCGCACAATATTATAAATTATTTTCAATAAATAATTACTCCAACTCAAAACTATTTTAACTCCAAAGTCATCCATCTTGAAAATCACTTTCACTAGTGACTCATTGCTTCATCCTGTTCACTCAGCTCCACTAATATGTTAATGACTTAATGTACATGACATCACCCACCATTTCTCAATATACATAATCATCATCACCATCATACCAATTTTTTTTTTTTTTTTGAAATTACCATCATACCAATTTGCAGCAAAATATATATACACTTACGCTGTACGCGTGAATATAACTAATTAGCTGCATAAAATCGTCAATGTGTTATGGAAGAAAAGGGTCGGTGGTATGAGAAGGCCCACAAGTACACACCGAAGAGTTATAAGAAACCAGAAAAGGACTAAAGTCTATGATAAATAATGGAACCCTATGCAAAAGCTTTCCATTCTACTTCACATTTTACACTACAAAACCCATTCACTTTTTTTTTCCTTTCTTTTATACTAATCCAACAAAGTTTAAGTCTTTTTAATATTCGGTGCCTTTTTAATTTTCTTTTAGTGTTTATCAAAAAAAGGAGCACATGAATTTAATTGTTGTTTGAATGTGTCTCGAATCCAAGATGTAACGGGTCATTCGTTCTCTCGTGTACATAGTATTTTTATTTTGTTATGGATATTCTATATCAAATCAATATGTCAGTAGATATGTGACAACGTTTGACATAATTAATGGATAAACCAAAAACTTGCCATTAAAACAAATGAAACGAATTTCAATAATTTTATCCGAACGAAACTAGCTGCATGGATTAAACGTGCCTGTGTTTTTCTCCTTTATATATTTTTTAGGG